AACTGGAGGTCGATGTGGGCTGTTTGCTAATGGTGGTGATAGAGCGGTAGTCAACAGGTTGTTGTAATGATGGTATCCTAATGGTAGTCAAATCAACATGTTGTTGCGATGATGGTATCCTAATGGTAGTCAAATCAACAGGTTATTGTAATGATGGTAACATAATGGTAGTCAAATCACAGGTAATTGTGAGTTATATGTAATACAGAGATACAAAGCTTTGAGCCTCATATCTATGTTAAACATGAACACAACTTCACACAAACAAATGCTCTATCATATGTATGTCTTACAACACGAGAGGCAACAGAGGGCAGTGATAAGGTTCACACAGTGGTCACATTAACGCACAGACAACACAGAAACCTCGTTATGCTAATGATTTCATTATCTAACACATGATGGTATACAGAGAGCCCAGTGATCGAACGCAACCACAATAATCCGCGAACAATTGAGAAGATATGGCCCCAAATAGCTTAGGACACGACACCCCCACCACCACCAACCTAATAGCCTCAGACACGACCCCAACAGCCAGAGACACGACCCCAATAGCCTGAGACATCACCAAACTCCTGAGACACGACCCCAACAGCCAGAGGCATTACCCCAACAGCCTGAGACATTACCCCAACAGCCTGAGACATTACCCCAACAGCCTGAGACACGACCCCAACAGCCTGAGACACGACCCCAACAGCCAGAGGCATTACCCCAACAGCCTGAGACATTACCCCAACAGCCTGAGACATTACCCCAACAGTCTGAGACATTACCCCAACAGCCAGAGGCATTACCCCAACAGCCAGAGACATTACCCCAACAGCCTGAGACATTACCCCAACAGCCTGAGACATTACCCCAACAGCCTGAGACATTACCCCAATAGCCTGAGACATAATACAACAGCCTCAGACAAACCCAACAGCCTGAGACACGACCCCAATAGCCTGAGACATCCCCAAACTCCTGAGACACGACCCCGACAGCCAGAGACACGACCCAACAGCCTGAGACACGAATCCAACAGTTTGAGACACCCCCCCCCCACACACACACTAATCAGAGACACGACCACTTCACACAATACCCCTAAAGCCCCTCCCCCGACACACACAAGTAGCCTGAGACACGACCCCCCCCCCCCTTCCCAACATCCTCAGACACCACGGAATATTCTAGATCGCGCTAGGAAGCCACTCGAGTTTATACCTATTATGTTGTCCGGTTTCAGTTTTCTCTCTATAAAACCCTCAATCTCCAAGAATCCCGGCAACATTGTAAGTACTTTAACGTTAGAGCACAGGCGTGGGTGTGCCCGACTTATGACACAGGCTACATATTAGGTTGCCATTGATTTTCTCCGCTTTAACATGAAACAATGGCGCCCACAAATAGCTTACAATTATAACTACGACCGACATTTGATGTTAGTTTTTTCTTATTACATCTGTGTATCTTAAAATAGAATCCAATATACCAACATACGCCTTTACCAACGTCTGTAAAAAGGTTTCTACCAGTTGTCCATTTAAAGATTCTAAATAATGCTTTTAGACAAAATAGGTGCAATGACCGAAGTCCGAAGGCTTTCTGTAAATGAAAATACAAAAACGAACGGAAAGGAAAAATCAATATCTGTTTGACAATTACATAAACATTTGCTTCTTACAGCCATGCAGGGCGACATATTTTTGTTCATGTTCACGACGAATGACAAAATCTCCGTCAGTACTGTAAGCTCCTAACATACAAAAACAAGCATGGTCGATCGGCTATTAAGCATTCTTTAAAAAACAGAAGAAAAATTAAACAAACCAAAAAAAAACGTTAATCATTCATGCACGGTGAAACTAATTAATACAATCAAGTTTAATTGATAATCAAAAATGTTTTTAATTTAAAAGCCGAATAGGTCGACCACGATTCATTTAAAATGTGTTTTGAGCGTTGTATGATTGAGTAGGCGTTACAATTTCTAGTGACAAACAACTTATTTGTTGTCACGTGATGGTGTCTTTAAGAAGTGACCGGGATATTTTTCTTACCCAGGGGAAGGTTAAGGCTATGGGGCATGTGTCCGGCAGCCAATCAGTGCCAGAGCATTACATTAGCAGCTTTATTAGAGTTTTAGTAAGCCACTCTTACATATTGGCAAAAGTATTTAAGGTAAATAAAACAAATATAAAAACATTTTTATAACAAGCTTTATATATGCATTATATATTAGAAAGTAACAATTTTTTGTTAAGGCAAACATTACCGTTAAATTGACACCCCACACGACTAGTACAACGATGCACCCCCACATTCTTGCATTGTCATCGGAAAGAAATTTGCCAGGAAAGTTAAAACGCAATCGCACTTGCAGTGGGTCCAAACTAGGTAGCAGGAGTTGACCACAAACTGTCAAATCCACAGTCATGGTAATCGAAGTAATACTTGTCATAAGGCAGGCCATGTACACTTCAAAGCTAAACGTCCTAGTGTATGCTTTCCGGTACTTTTTAGCACCCCCAAACACCTACACTCTCATCAAATAAAAAAAGACTTTCCATTACACAGACACACATCTTTACAAGCATACACGCCTAGACGACCGAAATAAATCAACCTTTTGTAGTCTGGTCAAAACGCTCAAATGTGCAGACGTTTTTTGTCCGGTGGCAGACGTTCCGATCTGACAGATTGATTCTTTCATAGGAGTCTGGCTCTTGATCTGGGTCGTGGTGACCTGCCCAGCTAGCCAGTGGTCTACGGTCGGTATGGAAATGTTACCATTCGGATGTCTGCTGGTGGAGACGCCACTGCAGGCCCTAGCTGATTGATACAAACGCCTTTCCTTATTCAGCCCGACATAGGGCGGACAATAAAAATTTACTGCTTGAAAAAAAATGGCGAACTTGCTAGGATGAATTAGGGAGGAGGAATGCGCCATAAATCTCAATTGATAAATGCATTTCTCTTGCGACATTCCAAAAGGAATTTATTAGACCTTGTACGCAAAATTCGTTTTTTTTTTCGGGGGGGGGGGGTGAAAAAAAAGGTTGTTGATATGTTCAGTTGTTTTGTTTCTGGCTACTTTGTCCATGTGTTTTTTGCTCACATCGATGCGTGGATTTTAGCCGGACCTATCATTTATTCTTATAGCTTGCTGGTTTTCTGACATGCCTTGTCCATCGCATTATTTATTTTTTACACATTCTTATTTTATTTTGAGAAGAACAAATTTTGCCACAATCTGTTGGCAAACACATACTATCCCATTATATGCCGAGGTCTCTGAACCAAATAAACTTTACTTCATCTTTCCTTTGTGTCTTGGCCACGAACGAAAAAAAATATGATGATTTGTACGCGGATGAACAGTACTGCTATGTGTGATTTGACCCCACAACCAGCGGGTATATCCAGTAACGGACAGTATTTGTAGGTGTTGCTTGACCCCACAAACAGCGGGTATACCCGATTACGGACAGTACTGGTAGAGTTGGTACAAGACAGAGACCATAAACACTACGTTTATATAAACTGATATGCCATTCTTAAACCATGCAGGTGCCGGCAACAATGGTATATGAGGCGTAAAGCAGACATAATGTGATCAGCAACTGTTGAATTATATTCTAATCAAATCTGTAACAATGTTCAAGGACTATTTTTTGTCAATCTTAAACATTGCCAGGACAAGGAGCACAACAGAATATGCTCACGCTGATTGCCATCTTGGCTTATAAATATTAACGTCGGAGATCAATTTAGTTAACACTGGCTTCTTGAACAATATTTGTCCTCAATTCTGTGAGCGTCCTCGCCCAACACGGCAGCAATTTGAAGCCACTCATGCTTCTATTGTTAAATACTTGACCGAGTGGATTCACGTTAGAGATGTCCAATGTGATCAGTTTGAAACTAACTCGCGGGAAAACACACACTTGATCATACAATACAGAGACAAAACATAAACGGGGGGGGGGGGGGGGGGACACACAAATATACAAACACACAAAAACACAGACCCTCATATCTTGATATGCACAGAAACATCTCCACACAACACACAGAAACACATCTGCACACAACACACAGAAACACACCGCCACACACACACCCGCACACAGAAACACATCGCTACACACACCCGTACACAGAAACACATCGCCACACACACACACGCACATCGCCAAATGTTTGTAGTAAGAACATTTCTCATTACAAACATTTGCTAAACCAAACCCACTACAAACTTTCTTATGACCAAACAGCATTTAATAAGGTACTCCCCTTCTTCCCCCCCCCCCTGCGCCCTGCACAAAAAGTTTCTGCCTACCTTAAACTAACGCGCCACATTTGTACCCCCCATCAATACAAATTATCAACGTTAGTTTAGAGTACAACACAAAGTGGCCAGTTTGGAAGACTTAAAAACTGCCTACCTTTGCCCCTGACGTCATCACGGCCTAACCACATGCATTAGCCCCTGACTCACCTGTAATCTAATTATACACCATAGGTGAGTCTGCTCAAACCAAATTAGAATTGGCTTTACGAATCTCTACACTACAGCAGGAAGTCTAGCCCCGTCCTCGCAATGTGTTGATGTGAAGTTAGGTCACACATCATAATGTTTTGATGTGAAGTTAGGTCACACATCACATCACAATGTTTTGATGTGAAGTTAGGTCACACATCACAATGTTTTGATGTGAAGCTAGGTCACACATCATAGCGCAATATTTTGATGTGAAGTTAGGTCACACATCACAGCGCAATGTTTAGATGTGAAGTCACAGATCATATGTTTACAAATGATAGATCATAAAAATCATCAACATTATGGTGATCATATGTCATGTTCAGTCTGACACCCCCAACCATTCAACTGATGATCATGCTTTTGCCAGTGGAGACTTTAAAAATGTTTCCGACAGATACTTAAATCACTGGTAACTTAAACAGCTTCTGAACTAGCAGACGACACACATCTCATTACTCACCAGTCACGATACGGGTAAGGTCAAGGATGTCCTCCTGTTGGCAGGACTTCCCGCGGTTGTTAGCAGCAGCAGACACAGGAAAAAACGATTTCACTTTCACTTTGCGCTTCTTGTTTAGTTCTAAAATAAGAGAGGAAAAAAAAATGATTTCTTTCACTTTGCGCTTCTTGTTTAGTTCTAAAATAAGAGAGGAAAAAAAAATGATTTCTTTCACTTTGCGCTTCTTGTTTAGTTCTAAAACAAGAGAAAAAAAAATGATTTGACTTTCACTTTGCGCTTTTTGCGCAGTTCTAAAACGAGAAAAAAAAATGATTTGACTTTCACTTTGCGCTTTTTGCGCAGTTCTAAAAAAAGAGAAAAAAAAAATGATTTGACTTTCACTTTGCGCTTTTTGCGCAGTTCTAAAACAAGAGAAAAAAAAATGATTTGACTTTCACTTTGCGCTTTTTGCGCAGTTCTAAAACAAGAGAAAAAAAATGATTTGACTTTCACTTTGCGCTTCTTGTTTGCTTCTAAAACAAGAGAAAAAAAATTATTTCTTTCACTTTGCGTTTTTTGCTCAGTTCTAAAAATTAACCTTTATTCTGAGTTTCCAAACATATGAAGTGTGCTAAAATGTCCGTTTATAATCAATAACAATCTTAACATTAGCATATGAATATTGACTGAACGAATTAAACATTACGTGAACCAGTGGCGGCGTCTTGACTGCTGGATATGAGAATCGTCCTTATCCCCCAAGATTTATAATACGTTTGGCTGGTGTTTCGTTGAACGCCAGATATCTGATACCAACATTAACACAAGCGGCGTCCCCGTGTTTAGCATGCCAAAAATGTCACAAAAAATATATTTCTAAACAAACATTTATTCTTGCTTTAATAAAGGTCAGTCTGTGGTGGGAGATGCAGACATTTGTGTCCAGTGATCTTGTCGGGCGGGCTCTAGACACAGCAGGATAGACGGATGGGGAGACATGAGACGGATGGTGTGGAAGACATGACGAGACAGATGGTGAGGGAGACATGACGAGACAGATGGTGAGGGAGACATGAGACAGGTGGTGTGGGAGACATGAGGCAGATGGTGAGGGAGACATGACGAGACAGATGGTGAGGGAGACATGAGACAGATGGTGAGGGAGACATGAGACAGATGGTGAGGGAGACATGAGACAGATGGTGAGGGAGACATGACGAGACCGATGGTGAGGGAGACATGACGAGACCGATGGTGAGGGAGACATGAGACAGATGGTGAGGGAGATGGTGAGGGAGATATGCAGGACAAGACAATAAGACACAGCAATAGAAAGGATAGTCTGGACACACGATTTAGGGCGGACAAAGAGACGGATACAAAAGAGAAAGCAGGTACGTATCTTATAAAGTTGATCGATATACGGGAGATAATTTAGTGTTATTACCTCCCTGGGCAGCAGTATTTGGTAGTATTGATTGAAATATTACAGCCGATTTGTTGACTCAACTCGAGCTGAAAGATCAAAGTTCTTATAGCACTAGAGAGGAGAAGCGAGGCTCTCCTTGTCACACCAATTACATAGTTTGTAATTCTCTGCTTATTTGCTACAGCCGCTTTAACTGACCAAGTACTAAACACGACCAAGATCTCAAGCAGTTTAAGTCGTCCTTTGGTGTTAGGCTTTATATTGTTATGGGAGAAAACTCATTCCGCAGACTGAGAACAAGAGATGATCACATGAGAGTTTGAAATATTGGCTAGAAACTATTGGGGGAGTGAGACTAGAAACTATTGGCGGAGTGAGGCTAGAAATTATTGGGGGAGTGAGGCTAGAAACTATTGGGGGAGTGAGGCTAGAAACTATTGGGGGAGTGAGGCTAGAAACTATTGGGGGAGTGAGGCTAGAAACTATTGGCGGAGTGAGGCTAGAAACTATTGGGGGAGTGAGGCTAGAAACTATTGGGGGAGTGAGGCTAGAAACTATTGGGGGAGTGAGGCTAGAAACTATTGGGGGAGTGAGGCTAGAAACTATTGGGGGAGTGAGGCTAGAAACTATTGGCGGAGTGAGGCTAGAAACTATTGGCGGAGTGAGGCTATAAACTATTGGCGGAGTGAGGCTATAAACTATTGGCGGAGTGAGGCTACAATATTTTGTGGGTAAAGACCATGAAACGTTTGAGTATTGAGGCTAAAATTATCTGGTCAATGAGAAGAGAGAAAATAGGTCCGAACTTTTACACCAGACAAAAACACCTCCCATCTTAAAACCTTGCCCAAGACAAAATAGACACTACCCACAAAAAGTTCTAAAGATAAACGTTCGGGGTGTGAGTGTTTATGGACTGGTGACTTCCGTCGTTTCTTGACTAGCACCGCGAGTCAGTGCAAACACAATAGACGACCAGTACGGTAGAGAGGACCAGGGGACATCACTCGCTCGATGCATACATCACGGGCTTAGATTGGAGAATTGTTGATGCACTCAGCGGGGGGGGGGGGGGGGGGGGGGAGGGGGGTGCTTCAGGTTGTTTGTACTCACGCCTACGTGTGCCACGGTAACAGCAGCACAAGCAACCATAGGAACCACCTCACGTAACTCCAACCATGGGAACCACCTCACGTAACTCCAACCATGGGAACCACCTCACGTAACTCCAACCATGGGAACCACCTCACGTAACTCCAACCATAGGAACCACCTCACCTAACTCCAACCATAGGAACCACCTCACGTAACTCCAACCATGGGAACCACCTCACGTAACTCCAACCATAGGAACCACCTCACGTAACTCCAACCATAGGAACCACCTCACGTAACTCCAACCATAGGAACCACCTCACGTAACTCCAACCATAGGAACCACCTCACGTAACTCCAACCATAGGAACCACCTCACGTAACTCCAACCATAGGAACCACCTCACGTAACCCCAACCATGGGAACCACCTCACGTAACCCCAACCATGGGAACCACCTCACGTAACCCCAACCATAGGAACCACCTCACGTAACTCCAACCATAGGAACCATCTCACGTAACTCCAACCATGGGAACCTAACTAACGTAACTCCAACCATAGGAACCACCTCACCTAACTCCAACCATAGGAACCACCTCACCTAACTCCAACCATAGGAACCACCTCACTAACTCCAACCATAGGAACCACCTCACGTAAATCCAACCATAGGAATCACCCCTAATGCCAACTTAATTTTTCAAATAATTGAATATTTTTGTTCATCTTATGAAGCTCATGACCCATATTTTACATTCAATCCTTTGTTACAATAATGTGTGCGTCGAGTTAAAAAAAAAATATAGCATTGTCTATTACTGCTGGTATAATCACTTCTAGTAAGTACGACTTGTGTTTGTTTTTTGCTAACATTCCCAATTGTAATTTCATTACAATATAGGGAGCCACTGCTATAGGGCGACAATAGTGATAAAGAAAATGGAGTGCGAATTAAAATGTTAACCAGGGGCATTAACCCTCTGTTTGTGCTCAAATACTGCAACACAATTTTAATCTATTGCTAATTAACTTTCCACTTAAGATTATTTCCAATGTCAAAACAAGAATATTTAATTCTCACTCTAATTAGATATTAGATATAACTACAATATTCAAGAACTAAGTAGAGATTAAAAACGGATTAACAAGAAGCGATCACTCAATCAGTCAGATGAGCTGGTGTTAATGGGCGCTTTCAAACGTGAGAATCGACCAGGGTTGATATTTTTTTTTCCTTGACAGATTTTAAAGTGGACTTAAGAAACGAACATAATTTGGTAAGTTTCTCAAACTTAAATTTTGATTACTCTTATATCTTACAGTATCTAAACACTAAAAGGTAGAAAATAATATGAGTATAAAAACGTTTATAGTAATACGCTTTTATTAAGGACTACAAAATATTAAATAATGAACACACTCTCTTTAACTATAACAATTTAAAAATAAAACCATCGCTACTTAAAAGATGTATTAAAGACCAAGTCTTTAACTGTAAGTCAATGTTCTTGGTTTTAAGATTTTATATTTTAAAAGTATTAATTTTGTGTTTTACTTTCTAATGACAAGACTGGAAATATTTATAAAAATGCTGAAGTTTTTTTAAATCTTGTGTTACTAGAATGAGAAAAATAAGAGTTTAAGGTTGTAACGTGATATAATAAGCATCAACTACAGGCCTATTTAATAACAAAAAGCTCAACTTTTTAGGTTGAATTTCAGGCACTTTTTATTGTGCATCTACACTTACAACTAGAAAACCTTTTAAAACGCTCACCCACAGGAATAAACAAATTGTTGGAAATAAATCTCTTACCTGTAGTAGAAACATCGGTATTTGTAGGCTTAGTGGGGTTAGGCTTCGGGAAGAGGGGCTTCACCGGAGTAACCAGATCAATAACGTCGAGCAGATCGCTGTCCTTATCTCCCTTGTTGCGGACCTCGTCGGTAGGTGGCGCTGTTAGTGGAGCGGAGGCGCGTGAGGGCTCACGGGTGGAGGAGCCAACAGCTGACGGCTGTACAAAGTCCGGCAGTTTGCCGGGTCCGGTTGATGCGACATCCGTCCGGCTAGTGTCTTGTTGAGCGAGTCCAGTGTGGCCAGCTTGACCTGTCAGTGACAAACAAAACAAATCACCTTACACCTGGCTTCTGTAATAACGCCCCCGGTTGTAGGGGGGGGGGGTGAATGCTAATCAAGCTGCTGTGAACAATATACACACAAAAAATCAATTTCTTTCCCCAATCGTGATGTTTATAAATGACTCCCTGTAACGTTTTAATATTATTTTCTTGTGTGAAATGTAAATGAGATTATAATTAATAGTAACAAAAAACTCGTAATTTAATTTATCCCTGGTTGACATAGATTAAAATGCAGGAATACATAGACTCAATGGGATACATAGATGCATATAGAAAAGGAAAAAAACGTTTAGCATAGTACTCTTACACTTAAGTTCACACGATCATTTTAATAATGCTTTCAATTAACAAACAACTACGCCCTATTATTTTTAAGTGCTCGGGTGAAGGCCTACCATCTATAATGTTTTACGGGTGATTCACAGCGTCGCTACAACAATCATCCCAGCATCCTCCCAACACATACACCATCCTTTTTATGCATACACACCTATCATTTCCCTACATCCTACGTTACCCAACTACACAGCCCCTCCCTAGAACACTATAGTAAAATGGGTCTCCCTAGTTTAATGATCTAATGGATGATTGCGCATTGCAAATCCAAGCACAATGCATGAGCAGTTGGGTGAGATTTAACACCCATGTACCACCTCATCCTCCGTTACCCTACCACACCCATGCCCACCTGCACTAACTCCCGTAACTTGATACATGCCCATGGCTTCATATTTGTTGGAAGTTTGACGACACGTCCAGGTTTTCCCACAAGAACATTGGCAGTAGAGGAAAAACCACAAAAAGGCGGATAGTACTAGAGCGTAGGCCGTAGATAAAAATAAGACAAAGGTCAATTTCTCGCTGGACCAAAACTCTAGGTAGCTACACTCTAATGAAGGCAGTAAAAAAAATGACATTATAACGAGGGCAGTTAATAAATAACCAAAATGCCGTATAACATTATAACGAGGGCAGTAAATAAAGAACCGAGAAAGGTATATCTGTTATCGCAGCGCGATGCCACCACGGTGCCCACGAGCAACCAGGAAGTGTAATTTTGTCGAGCGAGTCTACGGCTTCCATCACAACGTTGCTGCTCCAATCAATACATCTGTGGTTAGAGAAACTAGGTATATCAAGTCTTAAACATCAGCACATTTAAGACCATTGAAACCAATGATGTGTGGTTATAGAAACTAGGTATATCAGGTCTTAAACATCAGCACATTCAAGACCATTGAAACCAATGATGTGTGGTTATAGAAACTAGGTATATCAGGTCTTAAACATCAGCACATTCAACATCACTGAAACCAATGATGTGTGGTTATAGAAACTAGGTATATCAGTGGCTTAAACATCAACACATTCGGGACCACTGAAACCAAAATGTGTGGTTTATCCTTATAAAAACAACTATGTATATTATCAAGCATATATCAAAACATCAGCACATTCACAATTACTGAAACAACTAATGAAACGTTACATATAAAGAAAACATTTCGGGACATCAGACATTAGTACATTTCCAAGCAGAGATTAGTTCAGTGGTTTTGTCTGCCGCTTAGATATATACCAATATAATAGCAGAAGTACAAAATCGATAGCAAGCAATGATCTGCAGCTTTTAAATGCTCGAGAAGGTAGAGCCGACCCTGATGACAATGCACGTTTTAGTGCTTTAGCACCGCTCCTGATAACAATACAGGTTTTAGAGCTTTAGCACCGCCCCTGATGACAATACACGTTAAGAGCTTTAGCACCGCCCCTGACACAAGATTTCTAGAAAGCCAAATAAGAGATTAACTTGAAAACCCGGAGAAAGAAAAATAGACGTAATTAATCTTCTTGAGACTGAGATGGATTAGGTTATCTCGTCTTAATGAGGTAATACTTCCATTAGCTGTCTGCGGTTATGTTTCAAAGGGATCGCGGTTCTTACAATACGCCACCTACTTCAGTATGAGGATAGCGGAACACTCATCTGTGGAAGTAACGGTTCTTACAAAACGCCACCTACTTATGTATGGGGTTAGCGGAACACTCATCCGGTGAAATAACGGATCTAACAATACGTAACCTCCATGTGTACTGGGGGTGGGGCGCTGGCGGTGAAATGGCCGAAGTAGACGCGTAATGTAAACTGTAAACGGAAGATCGAAATCTTATGTAAACTCATCTGTAGCCAAGCTAAAGGTCGCGAGATCGATCCCTGCCTTAGCCGTGGTAATGATTAGACTAAACAACAAGCAAAGGCGGTGTTCGGTATTTGAATACGATATAGGTGAGCTTTTCATTTTGTTCGTGCTTCTAACTCCCCCACCCTGCCAACTATCCCCTCCCACACCCGCTCTATTCTACCTTCTAGCTCATTTAACCATTCTTGTCTACACCCCCCCCCCTCACTCCCTCCCTACTTATCCCATTATTTCCTATTGTCCACAGCCATCTACGTCACCGACCACCAGTATCCAACAACTGAGTTTCCATCAGAAAATGTCAACCTTAATGAACCGTCTGGGTGTCAATGTGACGTCAATTAGTCCAGCAGAGAGGCGGCTAAACAGCCGGTTTGTCATGTAACGGACACAGAGACCACCACGTGACGCGTGTTATGTCAGACCTCCACTCTCCGCTCAGCCTGAATATTCCCGCCAGAATCTCGATTTTGTTTTTTAGAAATCTATTTTAAACTTCCGCCTCACGGTATATCGGGGGTGGGGGCTAGATCTATAATTAAAGGCAATTTGTTTTCACTTTTTCTCTCAAATTAAAATCCTGAATACAGTCACTGGTTAAAATGATGTTCGATCACACAAAAACCAGGTTAAAAACTACTAGCTACTTATTATAGCCAGCTAACAACCTTATGGAATGTGACACTCTGGTATTACTGGCTAGGAAAGAATACGTGTAGGAGGATATTGCGAAAGAATAATTGCGGTTCTGTTTCCAGTTGAAGACGGGAAGGTGAATCTCGGCGCATGCGCGCTATGTGAGCGGCGATTCAGTGGCTGGGGTGGGGTGGGCAGGAGAGCAACAGGGAGATTAGGCAGGGGCGCTGCTACAGCCACCTGCTAGGGCAGTGATCGGAAACCTGTGGATCCGGAGCCGCAGGCATCTGCTGGCGGTGTATCGGCAAGTCTAGCTATGAAACAAAATAAAAACATGTACACCTTGCATGTATTGGGTGTTGTTTTTATAATGTAGCATTAAAGAAATATCACAAATAATCTACACAGTGGCTCTGAATTAGGAACTATCGGGAAACATTGAAAAGATTACTGGAAGCAAAACAAATTAGCATTAATTCAATGCATGGCATCAAACATAAAAAGTTCATAAATATGTATTGAATTATATTTAAAGATCTCATTTCTTATAAAACCAAAAACAGGAATTAAGTAGTATATTGTCTTACTGTTACCTAACACGGGTTTTAGCTTGTAGAGGAAACCTTTCGCTCACAAAGTCATTCCCTAATCCCAACAGGTTGTCATTATCTAATCGATTGTTGTTGAATACAACGGTGACGACAGTTTGAAGTTTCCGGATCAGACTACGTACATGCGGCAATATCGGGCTACATGCCCGGGCATGCGATACTAGAGACGACAGGGAAATTGAAGTGCGCCTCACCTCCCAGATGTATCAAGCCACAGCCCTTCCCCCCCCCCCCCCCCCCCCCCCACGGAGAAAAGTGTTTACAAGAAGCAGTGTATTTGCTCAAAGTTTTATATCCAGTCTTTCAACCGTTCGTATGTCTAGTCCACATTTTTTACCGTTGCTCCAGTGAAAAAGGCTCCACATCCATACGTGAACGTTGTTTATGAGCGGAACATAAATATTTTACTCCGGATCACACATTGTCGTCTAGTTTTTTTTTCGTCTAGTTTTTATTTTTTCGTCTAGTTCTCATATTTTATGTCCGCTCTTGAAATGTTCAACACGCTTGTGTGAGATCACTAGAAAAAATTTCGTTTCCTCAAAAGCTTCCTTTAAAGACGTTTTAATGTTGATCAAAAAAATGTTAAAAGCCGCCTAATTAAATTTGTCTAAAATTTAATTTCACGAAATTTCTCTCGTAAAAGGAGAGAAGAATTCAACTTTGTGTACGCTGAAGCCGGGCAGTCCATGACTACAGAAAATTGAAGTTAACTTGGTGAAAGCCAATCGACCGATGACTGTATGGACCACGCGAGTGTGAGTACTAGTCCTATAGACTTATATAAGCCTTTTTACAACTGAACTTTAACCTTCGTGCTTAGGGAATTGGTTTGACCGTGGACAAATGTAAAGCAATCAGCGAAACAATTAGGACATCAGTTTAGCTCCCGATGTTGTTACACATGTATTGCAGACTGAGGCGGTTAATTTTATAAAATCATGCACAAAAGATTTTCGTGTGTCTGCCTAAATCGTACAGTAGGATATTAGAGTCTGTCTAACAGTATTAGATTGGTGGACGAATGGGTCTTATGGTCTTATTGACCAGTGGGAGAATGGGTCTAACGGACAAGCGGACGACTGGGTCTAAAGGCATAATACAAGTAGCCTATATTTCAACTGGACTCAAAAAATATAAGCATTTTAATCATGCTGACAATACAACAATCTCTATTACACATATACTGATAGTCTTTATGTAAAAGACTCGCTTGTTTGTTTAATGTTGTCAAAAGGATGTCAAACATCCTTTTATAAAGATACACATTTTTAAAACCTCTTAAAGTGCATATGCTTTATGTAAAAAAAATCAAATATAGAAGTTTTAAAATGTCCATAAATAGTTAAAAATGACAGCTGTTCGTTAAAAAGTTTCCATTTAAACTTGAGAAATATTTCCAATCTTTTTAACCCCAGGGATTGTGCACATGAAGTGGTGTGAGATTAGTGGAAGGTAAGTGGGCAGCTGAAAACTGGGCGTTTTTTGTGTTGTGTATCAAAGCGCAGTTGTATGTC